TCCCGGAAGAAGTGTTATCTCGATCCAAAGAATTGGAGAGAATCCGTATACATGCACACAAATACACACGCGACACACGAGACAGAAATTTCGGAGCGTGTGTGTTGCGCGAGTCTTCGCTCATAAAAAATTACAACGGAGGGAAACGATAAATCGAGACTGTCTCCTCGCGCCGTGAGAAGCTTATTTCTCCTGTTCCTTCTCGGGCGATGATACGTAACGTCGACAGTCTTCTCGGGATTGAGAAAAAGAGAGGGAAAACCGCGCCCGGATCACCCATGGGAGAGAGAGAGGTAGAAAAAGTGACTTTCTGAATTACACGAGAGATCGATGTAATACGAAACGTTTATGTCTTTGGTGGGAATATCGGAGGGAGAACGAGAGGGTGGAAATTGAGGGAAGGGATGAAAAGAGGGATGGATCTTCATTTATCATCGGACATCCCGCCGCCGGAGGCAGACAGCAGCGGAAAAGCAATCGGTTCGTCGACGGCTAGTTATCGACGAAAACCAAACCCCGATATATCGTTTTGCAACAACTTTTTACGCAACGTCAGACAAAGTCATTAGCGTTCGCCGCGTAATCGCATCGCGAGTATAAAACGAAACAATGCGCCGACAAAAAGCGGATTGCGCCGCGAACGATAAATCGATGGAGAGATCGGCGATATGTACTCTCGATATATCGATACTCGAATCTCCCGATTTCACACTGCGTTTCGCATTGTGACTTAATCCCGAAATTTTATTACAGAAATCGTATTACGTGCTCGTACGATGTGTGTATATATATATATATATATTATATTTTCACAATTTATGCCTCGTATAACCACGTATCGTATACTATATAAAAGTCTGTTAATATTTTTTATAGAGCATCGCGAATAAGCGGCAATTCGCATCGACATTTCTCCATTTATTCCACTCAGTCTCCCGTTAACTTTGGCATAGACTTACTTTACGAATGACTAATTGTAAGTTGCGATATTAAGCGACTCCACAAACGACACTGGTTGCTTTGACAGATGTCAAAGAAACCGGTGTCGTTTATTGCAGAGTAAAGTGAGACAATGAATCTTTCTTTAAGAAGTCATTTCAACGAGATCGAGTGTCTCAATCAAGTCTCAATCATTTACCCTTTTAAAATCCCGAGAAACTTTCTGGAGTAATTAGAGTAATATGAAAAAAGCTTGCAAAAAATATAAACACGAGAATTCATTAAATATTTCGCTTGATATATTTTCGTTGCTCCCTCGCACGTAATTTTATTTATTTCCTGCGCATTTCTTGCGCTGCAAAAAATTGATACATTCTCAAAAAAAATAAGAGAGAACTATGTATACTATAAAATCCTTTTTTAGTTTATTAGAATAATGCATGAAGTTAATATATATGTTCACAAGTTTATAGATTTTTTGTCTGTGTGTGAAATAATACTTGTTTATCAATATAAAATAAATCCTATATCATCTACATTTTTATAAATTAGGAATACGTGATATTAATTTTTAATAGAATTTTCTCCTCTTAAAAAAATTCCTTTGGTCCTTATTTCAAAGCAGAATTTTTATTCTATAAAAATAAGAGCAAAATTCGAGGAAATAGATTATAGAAGTTATAGAAGATAGAAGTTTATAGATTTTTTGTCTGTGAAATAATACTTGTTTATCAATATAAAAATAAATCCCTATATCATCTACATTTTTATAAATTAGGAATACGCGATATTAATTTTTAATAGAATTTTCTCCTCTTAAAAAGATTCCTTTGGTCCCTATTTCAAAGCAGAATTTTTATTCTATATAAAAATAAGAGCAAAATTCGAGGAAAATGAAAATAAATTTATCTAGCGTGCTTCGCACGCGCTGCAAGAGAGCATCCTGCAGCACCTACTGCAATCTCTGACCAGCGGCAAGAAACGCAGAACCGCACCTGGCCTGAGAAACACCGGCGGCGTTGCGCCGATGTCGGAATCGAAGGAGCGGAAAGTGCGGTAAAGGAAAAACCGACCGGGACGAAGAAAAGCGATTTCCCCGAGGGCTTTATCGCCTCTCCCTGGCCGGGCCTCCAGTGGTGGTAGAAACCCGTATGCGTGGAAGGAATGCACAAACGAGCAGAGCATCGCTCTCCTCGAGATGTAAACTGTTTGCGCTGTTTCCGGTACAGGCGGAAGGTACGGGAAATGGCCAGACGCTAGAGTAGATCCGGTTGACCACTACCGAAAGGAACCCCATCCCTTTTCTCTCCCTCCGACTTCCTATTGCTGTTTGTCCTTGATGTTCTCTTCTTAGCGCCCGTTCTGCCTGTCTGAGCAACTATTTGCGCTTTCGGAGCTTTTCCGGATAGAATGTACGATTGACATGATACTTTCTGAAACTCGACGTCCAGTTGTTTATAATATAATGTGTCTTTAGTCTGTCGAAGAATAATAAGTGTGAAAGTATAATAAAAATAATTATAATAGAGAATTATTATTATATTTAATATAAATTAAAAAAAAATATATTACTGCTTTTCGTGAAAAGTTCATTTTTAGTTTGCGGAATGTGTTGTAATTTTATTTATATACGACGCAATCGATTTTAATAAAATTCTTCATGCGTTCTTTTAATGGAATCAGTGTATTATAACAATCAAAAGCAGCGAATAGCTATTATTTTATTTATGATATAGGAAATCGATGAAATCTCACTGAAAAAATCAATTAATAACTGTTTCAATCAGGGACATATTTTTAAATTCGTAATATTATATATGAGATAAATTTATAGCATATCTATATTGTAAAAAAATTTCAGAGTTTTTGGCCAAGAACCTTGTTTATTTTTTTGTATCATATTTTAGGAGTAAAAAACAAACAATACACATGTATATATGTAATTCTGAATTTGAATACTAGATATAAATGTTTCATTCCAGATGTGTATGTATAAAGATTTCCTCCCCAAAATTAGTAATTCAAATAAATTAGTAATTCAAAATAAATAGAAAATGTATCGCGAAAAAGATCGAAAAATTGCTGCGGGTGATATTTCTCTAAAATATACCATTTCGAACTTTTTAAAATACACCATACGCGATTGCAAAATATATATACGATTCAAATGTGCCGAAATTCTCGAATAAATTCGGACCGTCGATCATGCGAAGCGTATGGATATCAGAACACGCGGGTTTCCGGCACGTTAGTCGTAATTTTCCTGATTGGCGCGGAATTAGCGTCCAACTATATCACGCCGTAATCGCATTTGCGTGAATTTATCGCGCGACGATGTATTTACGACGCTTTTAGCGTCCTGCTTTTGTTCCTCGCGCGTCCCAACGAGGACCATGCATTTTTATTATTGCGCAATTGCGTCGCATCCCCTGCCTGAGTGAGGCTTCTGCGGGGAGAATCCACCACCTGAAGGACAAAAGCCGGCGAGAATGTTCAATTCCAGTCGGTGTTATCCGGCGACGACAAAAAGGAAAAAAAAGAAAGGGCTTCCCTTCTTCTTTTTCACTCTCTTTCGTTTTCTCCCTTTATCGAATAAAATAAAGTCCCGCAATTTGTCACCCCGAGCATGGATCAATTGGTGATGTTTTTTTGAGAGGGCGGACCCTTCGCACGAGAGATCCTTGCCAGCTAATCCCCTGACGATTAATCTATCGAAGCTTCCGCGTCTTCAACCTGAACTGATTATTTCGCCGGACGAAATAAGTTTTTGACGATCATCAGCGAATCAACAGAATCTGTCAGACGTGTAAGCATTTTCTCGCACGATTTCATGTATATAGTATCCGCCGGTATCATTTTTCATTGTGTGTTTTCCCTCTTTTGTTGTAAACAACAACATTATTAATGCGTTAACGGTGTTACGTAAATATTGGATCAACTTACTCGACAGGCAAATATTTTGCCTGCCTTCAACACCCGGCGCTTATATCACGATCGAATTGATTTATTTTATATTACAACAGTCCATCGCGGGGACGAGAATGACCGATAAACTGTTGTGCCTGGCACAATGACGGCATTAAGCTGTCAATGGAGGTTTGATAGCGCATTGAAAGGAACGAGCGCAATATACCCTCGCAAAGATACGCATCGATCGGTCGAGATTGAACGAGATAGATACAAATGCGCTTATTAGAAATGCGTAAAACCAAAAAGTTTCCTTACTTTGTGCGTCTTCTTTCCTTCTCATTATCGAAATATTTTTTCTATAAGAGCATGCACAATTAAAATCTAAAATTAAAACTTTTGAAAATCGTCTTTTTATACAGTGAACAAAATTGTATTCTCGAAGTAAAGAGGACTGTGTAATATATTTGAATCACTTAGGAGAAGTGTTTATAAAATAAGTACCTATAATCTGTAACATAATCTATAATTTAATCATTTATTTTTTGTTATTGTCAAAATAAATCCTATTTTGTCCATATTTTTATAAATTAGAAATATCTGGTGTTAATTTTCTTCTTAACTCTGCAGTAGTCATAAATGACATTAGTCATCCACGTGCATAAATCTGCAATTTTTTCATTTTTCTTATGTATACCTCAACATTTTTTTTTTTTTAATTTAAGTTCAATGGTTAATATATGTATTTAAATAAATGATATGCTTATAACATATTTTAATTCGTCTTTTAAAAAGGAATGACAGCTGTCATCCATGTGAGCTTAACTCTGCAGTAGTCATAAATGACATTAGTCATCCACGTGCATAAATCTACAATTTTTTCATTTTTCTTATGTATACCTCAACATTTTTTTTTTTAATTTAAGTTCAATGGTTAATATATGTATTTAAATATAAATGATATGCTTATAACATATTTTAATTCGTCTTTTAAAAAGGAATGACAGCTGTCATCCATGTGAGCTAATATCCTATTTAACACTTTAAGATTAAGAAGATCGTTTTGAACGAGTTATTCTAAAAGCAGAACTTCTTCAAATGAGAATACAATTTTTTTCAGCGTACTAATCGCGTTATAAATGTTTTTTTCCTACCTTTGCTGTATGGCGCGAGCAATAGCAGATTCACCAATGCCGCTCCAGTGTCATGGCCCATTAGAGTTATTCGTGTTGGATCGCCGCCGAAGGCGCCGATGTTCTCACGCACCCAGCGAAGTCCTATCGTGATGTCCTTTAAAGCCAAATTCCCGCCGGGTCCGCTCGTTCTGTCGGCGAAAGGACGAGTCCTTAAGAACCCTGGAAGAACGCCAAACCGTTTGCGATTCAACACTCTCACGGGATTGCCATTGGATAATATCTTTCCTCTCCTCCTCTTTTCTTGTCTCGTTTTATTATTATTATATTTTTTTTTTCGTTCTCTCGCAACATTTATGGTATAGTAGCGTTTATTTGATTAAATCTTATTCGCAAATTCGAAAGTGCTACTCTCATTGAAGAGATGAAGATTTCAAATATATAGGTACGATTTAAATTATTAATTATTAGAATAAATTATTATTAAAAAAAATTATAAGAGGTATAGTTGTACATATCAGATGTAAAAGATTCGATTTAACGATTACAGCAATAGTTAAGCGAAGCATGCAAATATTCGTTACACTATTAAGTCATAATCCGAGACAGTTCTACAAGCAAATAGATGAAATTGACATTTACGGACTTTGCTATATACTCGTAGCGCGATGACAGAGATGCACTCGTAGGTCTTCGAAATACCAATATTGACTTAAGTATGTAAATGGTTTCCCCGTGGACTACATTTCTCTATATATTTCCGCGTGTAGCTAGTTAATAATACGAACTTGCTTCCCGGGATAAGTGCGAGTCGTAATAAGTGGGCGAGACTGTTTTACAGAGACACGACGTAAAATCTTTGTGGAGAGAGAAATGTAATTAGATATTTAAATATTATTATATACAAGATGTTTCCAGAATTAAACGTTTTAACTTAAAATGAATTTAGAACTTTAAGTAAGAAAGTTCCTCTAGAATATGTTCGTAAATGCTTCGTTTAACAAATGTTAATATGTAAAATTGCGGCTAGAAGCGATAAGTAAAGTGATGAATAAGTACAGTTATTCTACTTAAATATATATTATCGTTATAGTTACAGAATAATTATAGTATAAATTTACATAGTTATTCTATTTACTAATATGAACTTATCTCCATACTGTGAATATTATACAAAAGCTGTCAATATTATATAATAAGCCCAGAATTATTAAGAAATTATTGACAAGTATTTCTATTTGTTCAATGATTTTTAAAATCATCATATTAAACAATAATTATGTTAGAATTTTCATATTTTTTAGTAATAAAATAGTGTTAAAACATTGCTTATTTATTATAACCTAAACTTATATTTTTATAAAATCGTAGATGATTCAAAATGATAAGATGTTAATACTTTTTAAACAAAAGGCATTTGTTAGTGTATCTCTAGAAAATTTTTTAATTTTTTTAGGATCCTAAATTCATATTTTAAGTTAGAATCGTTTAATCCTGAAATACTTCATACACGAAAGCTTTCTATGAATTATAAAATATCATATAAAGCTCTATTGAAAGTAGCGCTTGCAGTTCTCTAAATAAATAATGAGAAATAAAAAAAAAAAATATAAATTACAGCTACAAAAAAATGTTCGATTGTGTTGGAATATTTCATCCCAATAAAAAACAATATAAACCGCGTAAATCGAAATTTCCTCGTTCATTCCGCGATCGTGGAATGTTGCGTCCGCTTAATGAAAATGCTTTAGCAGCGAGCGAGCGGCGCAACGGGTTGATTATAGGGTGGCACGTACCTAAGATGCCGAGACGATAGTTGAGTGTGATCACTATGACGTGGCCGGCGCTCGCCAAGACCGATCCATCGTACAGGTTACCCGATCCCCATTCGAAGCTCTCACCGTGTACGTAGACCATCACCGCATACGGCGCCTCCAGTCCTCGGGATCCTGAAAGCAGCACAGCACGGTTGCTGTCGCTCTTCCATTTTCTTTCTCGAATAAACCTCTTATCCGTATAAACCTCCCATTGACAGATCCAGCTTTCTCGTAATACCGTGCGACATTATCGCTTACGTAGCATTATGTTTTTCCGCTTTATCCCCCAGAGAGAGAGTCACAGAACATGGAATAGTAGGGATTTTGCTAAGTGAATCTTTGTCGTTTTGTATATGTACAAATTTATACTCCTTTCTCTATATTTATTAATGTTTGTTGTATACTATTTTTTGCGTTGCAATTTAAATTTAAATTTATTTTCAAATATACCTTTGTAGCTTAAGGATATATGGAGATATCTAAAAAATAGCAGAAAATGCATAAAAATTGTATAGATTATTTCCACTTTGATACTAAAGCTATCGTCAAAATTTGGATTTAATTCACTAATTCATTAAAAAGTTATTGCAATTTAAATTTTCGCTGGTTTTACATATAATCTCGTGAAAATTCGTCGCTATAATCGATTACATTACGTTAAAAAATGGTATTATATTTCAAATTTTTTACATGTATAATTGGAATTTTAAGGAACAATGCAAAATTTTATAATCCTTTTATAATTTACATTTTTTTATAACCGCGTTTACACAAGCGATCGTAAAAATAATATTACCTGGAAGTTATCTAGATGAATCGCTATATAATTTTATCTAGATATATTTAAATTCCAAATCATCTTCAGCTTATCTAAAATGAATTAATATATTTTGATTTCATCTTGATCTAGATAACATTGAAGCACAACGCTGAATATTATAAATCCAAAATAACGTCGGGGAATTAATGTAGCCAATGGATCGTCTCCTTCTATTTGCCGACTGCGCAATTAGAGCGACTAATTGCGAGTAATCCGCACTAAGGATCCAACCTCTCCGAGATCTCTCGGATCAGTTTGGAAATAGCCTCGGGATCGCGTGGTGCGCAATTTATAATGCGCATCCGATATGCTACACATCGGGATTTGTCGCGTGCAGAGGGTAGGTTTTAGAACGAAAAACCGTATCGCGTATATCAAAGGCCATTAATCCTTTGATTCTCGACGGGGACGGATATCGGCGCGTTTTTATTAAGTGGACTTGGTTCGCCCGCGATCGATTCGCGCGCGACGAATTTCGTATTCATCATCCCGATCTACCTTTCGCGCGCGCGCGCGCGCGTAAAAGGAACGTATCTCGCAATCGCGCGGCTTACACGATCACGCCGGATTCGTTCGAGATGCATGGTCGTGCGGAGAGAACTCGCGTGCGTTTATGCAGCCGTCGTAAACGCTCAATACGTTTGGAAATCGCTGCGGGTAAAACGGGCTTCTCCCTCTTTTACGGCGGATGTAAAATTTTACGCCCCGAGAGCGTCGCGGATATATAAGCCGGAATAAAGATAAAAATTAAAGCGAGGAATTTTAATAAGGCTGAAATTTCGTGTTTTTACAGCGACTCTTTATTCAGCGCATCTTTTGTTTTCGTAGAATACTTTATATGCATTTTTATTATTTATGCTGAATTTTCCGATAAATTCTATTAAATTTATAATTGTCTCTGCGACTAACAATAAACTATTCGTAGAATCGCGTTTATCGCTCCATTGCAACTAATTAATTGCCCGTCTGTTACACGATTTGTGCTACATCGGATTACCTGCTTCCGAGAGACATCATCCTAAACCGTTACGAGAGATAGCGCAATCGAGTTACGTACGCTTGCAATCATCGTAGTTAGCGATTCAATCGTCTCCTCACGCGCTCCTACTTTGATCTTACTTTGATTATCCGTCAACTTGTAAAACTCGTCCAATTAGAAACGATCATTTTGATAAGTAGACGAAGTTGACGCGAGACGCTGCGCGATAGATCTTTAATTACGTCGCTTTATCTGTGCACTTTACATACGATTGCATCAAACGGTTCTCAAGATTACATTTTAGTCGATGAAACACTGAAAACTCTAAACCTTTATTTAAAATACAGAATGGTTTATTTTAATCTTATAATAATTGCAATTTAACAAAATGACATGCCGAATTAAAGTTTATTACAAAGGGACGTATGTATACAATAATCCTAATTTGATTTTGTGACGTCTCTGCTAAAAATCATTTAATAATTAAGTTAGTTTTTTTTCAAATGGAACCATCAACAATAAATTATTTTTAAGAAAAAATATGTAGCCAGTTGCAAATTATATATTTATTTTTTCTTAAAAACAACAATATATGCTTTCTTTGCATCAATTAATTCTTTATTATTTTGTGCGTATTGAAATAAAATAACTGAAAAATAAATATTTTACAAGATATTTTCATTTCATGATTTATGTAGAATTATGTCAAATTAAAATATAAAATATCTCGTAAACTATTCACCTTCTGGCAATTCTACTTTTATAATTTTTTTATATTGCGAGAAATTAAAAAAAATTCAGATAGTTTCATTAAAAAAAATTAGATTGACTTTTAAAGAATTTTGAGTAGACGTCACAAGATTAAACTAGAGTCATCATTATATTGCTTTTATAGCTTTTATAAGCTTTTATAAAATCACGTTTCTTAGTTTGTTTATAGAATCGCTCTTTTTTTCTAATGGACATTTAATCGAGGATCACCTTTATTTGCAAAACTGTGCACTGCGGTTCCATAATATTCGCGTAACTCGCAAAATTCTGAATGCTTTTCTTTTTATATTTTAACCCGAGATTACGCGTTGCATAGGATGCAGCTTTACGTTGCAAATTCACGTTTATCTTTCATCGCGGGCCCGGAAACGTGTGACGCAACGCATGCGGCTGCTCCCGAGGGTTGATACCCTGCATAAAGGTACTAATTACTTTAGGACTAATTACTTTAGGAAGCAACTTGCGCCACGTAATACTATACGGACGCATAAATTGTCGGCACCGATAGATAATGTAGTCCAAAATTTCGGGGGCCGAAATTATACCGCCGTCACCGTCGCCAACCACGAAACTTTACATCAGTTCCGTACGGTAATACGTTATTTTCCGCCATGTAATTTTTTTTTCAGTCACCCGGCATTAATCTCGGTCGATCGCATCACCACGACGTGTAATTTTGAGCGAAAAATTGGTTTGATTCCTTTTCTCGCTCGCGCGCTTTTTCAACGCTCGAACGCCTTCGCTCCGTCCATTCAACGCTATCAGTTTTTATAACAGTGTTCTTCAAAAACTTTCTTCGAAGCAATAAAAGGACGCATATTAATGTATCGTTTCTCTTGGGATGAAAATTAAGTCGGGAATTGATAATCAAGTGGCAATCTTCGTGACCTATGTCGCTTAAATGAGTGATAATAAGATGCGAAAAATAAATTATTTATGCAGGTAGTAAAGGTTGAACTTTCATTAACTCAATGTGGAGAGTAGCTTCACTATCTTCCCGAAGAATAAAGACTTTCATTAAAACTTATTATCCCCTTTTACTCTGTCAGAACTGAGGAACTTTGCGTTACCAGGGAGGTACTTTGGGCGACAATAGAAACGTAATTTTGCATAGCCCCTTTTAAGACATAATTTATCGTGTGACCTTGCCCTTCTCTTACAATAAAAAATTCTACACATCCGAGATATTACGCCAAATGGTGGATCTTAATTAAGTCTCGTTTATAAAATTAAATATTTGACACTAACAATATAATTAACTAAATACGCGATATACGTATGTATAAACTTACCGCTTCCGGGTATATACAGGTTGAGGAAGAGGCAGTCCTCGCTCTGATTGGTCAAAAATACGGTCATTCTTTTCAGCTGCTGATATCTGCCGTGCGGCATTTGCAGAAGCGCAGCAGTGTCATTGGATAGATCCGGATAGTTTTGCGGACATACCGCGCCGAAGGTATCCGCCAGTTTGACGCCGTTCCAAGGAATGGGCGAGATCGGAGGTCGAAATCTTAACTCTCCTATCGGAGGTGCGGCATAAGGTATACCGCGAAACACTTCCACGGGATCCAAGTGCCGGCTGTTCAACTCCTGCAACAAGAGTAATAGACTGAATTTAATATCTTTGGAGAAGAAGAGGAATAGGTTTTTTAAGACTAAAAAAATTGTACGAGTAAGAGGATTCGTAGAAATTCTAAAATCCCTTTTATAATGCATATTTTTAAGTGTTTATACAACATTCTCTGAAACTAAAAATATATTCTTTGTTAATAAATGATCGTATATTTTTTTACTTTATTGTTTTAATTTATATTTGAGAAAGCAAGCTTAATTATAACACATGGAAGACTAAAATTATATTTTAATATTTATATATGAATACAATATATCACTTGTTTTCTAAATCTCAAAATTTTGACAGTTGTTTAGAAACACTGTGTCGTCAAGCAACAATTATAATTTAATTAAAATAAGATAAATTATTGTCCGTAATATACAACAATTATTCAGGTTCGTACAAAAATAATATTATAAAATCAATCAATATTAGCGATAATATGACAGAAACATTATGAGTGCAGTGATTACTTGATGCAATATGGATTTTCATAATTAAAATACATATTTGCGAATAATCTCTATAAGTCAAAAAATCTTCAATCTTTTATAAGAAAAATATAAAAATTACCAAACGCAGAAAACATGACTGTAAAGTAATATTTCAACATAAAAAATGTGTTTGAGCCTAATAATCTGTCTGCATATGATTATATATAATTTATAATGCAGTGCAGTGTTTGTCACTGAATGGTTTTAATTTATTATGAGATCGAAGTTAAAAGCGACTTAAGAGAAATGATCGCGAGGAAGTAACGTATAACATAATAAAAATAAGTCTCATGCCTCATGTTCGATCTACATGTATAATTACATCTTTTTTATAATATTTCCTTGCTATTATTTCATTATCATAAATTAAATAATATATTTCATTTTCATAAATTAAAAATATTTGATATCATCTTTAGAAGATTCTTCGAAGCAGAACAGGATAATTCCAAAAATAAGTAAGAAATTCTTCAAATGAGAATACAATTTTTCATCCGTGTAACTTTCTTTCGGTCCATCAACATCGACTCCAAAGCTATTCTTAGACATCGATGTTCATCAAGTCTTATCGACTTCAGCTATATCGATGTTACATTTCTATGTTTATCAATTTCATCGTACCTCAGGCAGTGCATCAGGCCGCGGTTTATCGATTTTACGTCCAGGGATAGCTTTAAAATTGAATAAAAGAATGTTCAATCTCTTTCTCCCTCCGTTGTTTCTCGATATCCGGGCAAGTTTTTCTAAAATATGCGCAACGCGTAATGTCTGTCCGCGATATATCACTCTCAGTTCTTCGCACATGGATCTCCGAGTAACAGACAGAGCTGAGCTCTCGAAAGCGCTTGCACTCAATATCCATCTCATCTCCAACACGCGTCGGAGACGAGTAAGTGATTCGAAGGATGCAACCGTCCTTAAACAGCCAGGTGATTAAAAAACGCCGCATTCAAAAAGGGCGAGTTCCGATCCTCGCGTTTGATGAAAACGTCGCGATAATAGAAACACAAAGACAGATAGAAAATAAAAAAGATGAGACCAGAAGAAAAAAAAATAAAATATGTAAATGTGAGGTATCAAGAAGATCTTTACATATTTGGATAATCCAATTGCACGAAAAGTGAATTATAATAATTCGCTTGTTTAGTTGCGCATATTTATTATATTTTAAAAGAAGCTTGTTGAGAAACAGGATTTTTCCCATTTCTCGTGCATCCCACGATTATATACATCTCGCGACATAACGGAGCGGGAAAAATTGCTATTTGGTCGCATCTTGAAAGCAATTATGTCGGAAGGATCGATAAATCTCGTTTGTCGACTTCCTAATTGCACCTTTGAGCGCGATTGGGAAAAGTTCGTTCATTGAAATAACCGTTCTGCGATTCATGTTGGCAATTACAAATTTCTATTAACGATCCGGAGCATTGCGTCTTCGCCGGAAGAAAAAATGCATCCGCATTAAGAAGCATGAGAGAGAATTAGGGAGATCAGAGAGAAAGAGAGAGAGGAAGAAGGGGAAGCAAAAATGAGAGCTATTCAATTGGGCACTTCCAATTGCATTAAAAATTAAATGCGCGTCATGCGACTGCCGATAACAATCGGCGCTTATCGAAGTTCCCATAAAATCCCTCGGGATGACAGCGATGACGTGGGATGAAATATTAATTTAGCTTCATGAGTCTGCGAATTTTGTTCCGATCGACGATATTATAATTGATTTTTCCGGATAGAAATATTAATAAAGATGAAGATATCGAGCGCGCGTCGAGTCGATATAATTAAAAAATAAAATCTATAAAATAAAATATGTGAATTTAAATGAGCGACAGAGAGAGAGAGAGAGGGTTGCAAAAATTTCGTATGTACGAGCACGTCCGTCCCGGTTCATGGCGCAGCTTGTTATTTTACGATTGCGGCGTTCATTTTCGTATTCCCCGGGCGAGAGCTATCACGTAGTTGGAAATAAATTCCCATTACGGGTACGCGCGGCTGGAGGAGTTTAGCGAGATCGCAAGAAAATGGAAACACATGCACGGGGGCGCATGCTTCGATGAAAAGATTCGCGTGGATGGCGGATGCAAGTACCAGAGTCATTTCTCTCTTCGAGACCCCGGTCTTTTACCGTTTCTCCTCATCGTTCCACACAAACGAAATCAGTTCTGTCCGCGGTGGATTTACAGAAAATTTCTCTCTCACTTGCGTTATACAAGGTGATTTACAACGAAAAAAGCTTCGATACACCTCGCAATATAAGTAAAAAATATAAGTAAAATGTTGCATAGGTCCTAATGATTCAATTAATTATACACGGAGAGAATTTTCTCTTAGAATTTTTTCTGAAAATTATATTGTAATAATCGTGAGATAATATGACATTGGAAAAATTTTATAAGAGTTTCTCCGATTAATATTTACCGCAATAAAAAATATTAATATGTACATAATAAAATTAAACGAACGTATTTTGTATCTTAGTATGGTGGATATTAATATTTTTTATTGTGGTCAATATTAATCAGAGAAACTTTTATATTATAAAATTCTTTCAATACCCTATTGTCCTACGATTAGCATAACTTTCATCTGGATAAATTTTAAGAGAAAATTCTATCTGCGTAGTAAATCTATAATCGACGTCATTGAATTAAAAATCATGTAATTTTGAGCAACTATCAATGATGATGCCAAATAATTCGTGTAATAATCTGTTAAAAAATTATGATGGGATAATTATAATATAATATATCGCAGTTTTTCATATTTCATATACACACGTTATACATCGTTATAGCCGTGACATCTTCTGCGATGCATAATGCATTGGCACAGCTATTTATGAATGAAAGCGTAGACGCGAAAATAATCGTGATAAATAGATGAGAAAATTCGAGATATAAACCTCTCGGTTCTTTCAACTTCCATTTACTCCGCCAACAATTCGCTGTTAAAATCTTTCGACGACCGTTGAAATTCACACGGGATGCTTTAACCGTGTTGGAATCGATGCAATTTGGAGTGTGACCAAAATTGGTAAAATTTAAATATTAAATTGGATCGATTTAAATGGCGCTTTAATTCGGAGCTTTTAAATTTTGCACAGCAATCCGTCTCTCTACGAGAGAAAATTAATTTTATTAATTATATTTCTTTATGAATATTTTAACGCAAATGCATTCATCTTTTGAAACAAGTTGCATTGCGTTACTTCAATGATGCATGTCCGCACTAATTTGGGATAATAAAACATCATACAGCCAGCAACATAAGAGCTAACCCAACATTTTAGAAAATTACACAGCTATTGTTTGGCGTGCTGTGTACATACACGCACTGTAATGTATGAAAATGACTCTAATGATGAATTTATCTTTGTTATATTATATTTTACGTATTCGTATATGTCTAACATATTTTATTTATTTAACATACTATGGTAAGAAATAAATTCGTAAATTCTTACTCTCTTAATTAAACAGATAATAATCCTTAAAGTTTGTCAGTAATAATTAATAAAAATCTTTCTCTTAATTAACGTGGAAATCAAGTTGATCAATCAACATACATCACGTTTCGGATCCCTTCCCAAGTTTCAATCAAGTGTGCTATTCGGTTCGAGTAATAGTCGCGCAATAATCTTATCTGCACGATGGGATGAGACTTATGGCTGGATTATTGCCTCTGTCTGGTCCTTTCTGGATTGGGGAGGAAAGAGGATGGGAACGTGGAACGATTCGTGGGCGGACTGTGTAACTGTGCCCGGTGAATTATTATAATCTCCCGGCGAATAGAACGAATTTTATTTCGAAATCAGTCGCCCGCAGACGTGATCGTAATTCTCATTATTTGCGAGACGCGGAAAAAAACTTTTCGTACCAAACTTTGCGAGCGCAGTCGGAAATTTACTCGACGGGAACTCGATCTGCCAAAAATAATAGGCTTTAGGTATGCTCGCTAAAGTTTTTCCAAAAAATTCGTTTTAAATTGTTAGGGAAATTCGGCGTTCAAATTAAGATCCAGTTACAGGTTTTGTAATTTGTTTTAATGAAGAAACGTGAGATGTTATTATTGGGTTGATTCCTAAAATAAGGTTCGCTATATAAATAATGACTGAATCATTTCGTTCGAGAATTCGCGAGTTTTTAAATCGAAACGATCGCAACAGATGTTATATACGTGCAGCAACTGCAACGAGTGCAAAAAAATTGCGAAAAAGCGACCAGCACTCATCAATCGCAAAAATATGATTTTGCTACACGATAACGCTCGACTGAAACAACCAAGGAAAAAATTTTGAAGCTTTTGTGGTTCTACCTCATCCTCCTTGTTTTCTTCATCAGATTTCCTTCTATTTATTGTTAGATCACTCCAAAATTCGTTAAATAAAAAACATTTTCTTAATGACGCTGAGATCGATAAATTTGTAAAAAAACTGTTTTGCACCGAAACCTTTAAAATTTTTCTAAAAGTAAACAAGTTAT